ATCTCATTCAGATATGAAGGAGAACTCAAAAGCTTTACAGACAAGCAAAAGCTGAGAGAATTCAGCACCACCAAACCAGCTCTTCAACAAATACTAAAGGATCTTCTCTAGACAGGAAACACAGAAAGGTGGTATAAACGTGAACCCCAAACAACAAAATAAATGGCAACGGGACCATACCTATCAATAATTACCTTGAATGTAAATGGGTTGAATGCCCCAACCAAAAGACAAAGGCTGGCTGAATGGATACAAAAGCAAGACCCCTATATATGCTGTCTACAAGAGACCCACCTCAAAGCAAGGGACACATACAGACTAAAAGTGAAGGGCTGGAAAAAAATATTCCACGCAAACGGAGACCAAAAGAAAGCAGGAGTCGCAATACTCATATCAGATAAAATAGACTTTCAAATAAAGACTGTGAAAAGAGACAAAGATGGACACTACATAATGATCAAAGGATCAATCCAAGAAGAAGATATAACAATTATAAATATATATGCACCCAACATAGGAGCACCGCAATATGTAAGGCAAACGCTAATGAGTATGAAAGAGGAAATTAATAGTAACACAATAATAGTAGGAGACTTTAATACCCCACTCACAACTATGGATAGATCAACTAAACAGAAAATGCACAAGGAAGCACAAACTTTAAAGGACACAATGGACCAGCTAGACCTAATTGACATCTATAGGACGTTTCACCCCAAAACAATCAACTTCACCTTTTTCTCAAGTGCACACGGAACCTTCTCCAGAATAGATCACATCCTGGGCCATAAATCTAGTCTTGGTAAATTCAAAAAGATTGAAATCATTCAAGTCATCTTTTCTGACCACAGTGCAGTAAGATTAGATCTCAATTACAGGAAAAAAATTATTAAAAAATCAAACATATGGAGGCTAAACAACACGCTTCTGAATAACCAACAAATCATAGAAGAAATCAAAAAAGAAATAAAAATATGCATAGAAATGAATGAAAATGAAAACACAACAACCCAAAACCTATGGGACACTGTAAAAGCGGTGCTAAGGGGAAGATTCATAGCATTACAGGCCTACCTCAAGAAACAAGAAAAAAGTCAAATAAATAACCTAACTCTACACCTAAAGCAACTAGAGGAGGAAGAAATGAAGAACCCCAGGGTTAGTAGAAGGAAAGAAATCTTAAAAATTAGGGCAGAAATAAATGCAAAAGAAACTAAAGAGATCATAGCAAAAATTAACAAAGCTAAAAGCTGGTTTTTTGAAAAAATAAACAAAATTGACAAACCATTAGCAAGACTCATTAACAAACAAAGGGAGAAGAACCAAATTAACAAAATTAGAAACGAAAATGGAGAGATCACAACAGACAACACCGAAATACAAAGGATCATAAGAGACTACTACCAGCAGCTCTATGCCAATAAAATGGACAACTTGGAAGAAATGGACAAGTTCTTAGAGAAGTATAACTTTCCAAAACTGAACCAGGAAGAAATAGAAGATCTTAACAAAACCATCACAAGCAAGGAAATCGAAACTGTAATCAGAAATCTTCCAGCAAACAAAAGCCCAGGACCAGATGGCTTCACAGCTGAATTCTACCAAAAATTTAGAGAAGAGCTAACACCTATCTTACTCAAACTCTTCCAGAAAATTGCAGAAGAAGGTAAACTTCCAAACTCATTCTATGAGGCCACCATCACCCTAATTCCAAAACCAGACAAAGATGCCACAAAAAGAGAAAACTACAGGCCAATATCACTGATGAACATAGATGCAAAAATCCTTAACAAAATTCTAGCAAACAGAATCCAACAACATATTAAAAAAATCATACATCATGACCAAGTGGGCTTTATCCCAGGAATGCAAGGATTCTTTAGTATCCACAAATCAATCAATGTAATACACCACATTAACAAATTGAAAGATAAAAACCATATGATCATCTCAATAGATGCAGAGAAAGCCTTTGACAAAATTCAACATACATTTTTGATTAAAACTCTCCAGAAAGCAGGAATAGAAGGAACATACCTCAACATAATAAAAGCTATATATGACAAGCCCACAGCAAGCATCACCCTCAATTGTGAAAAATTGAAAGCATTTCCCCTGAAATCAGGAACAAGACAAGGGTGCCCACTCTCACCACTACTATTCAACATAGTTTTGGAACTGTTGGCCACAGCAATCAGGGCAGAAAAAGAAGTAAAAGGAATCCAGATAGGAAAAGAAGAAGTGAAACTCTCTCTGTTTGCAGATGACATGATCCTCTACATAGAAAATCCTAAAGACTCTACCAGAAAATTACTAGAGCTAATCAATGAATACAGTAAAGTTGCAGGATATAAAATTAACACACAGAAATCTCTTGCATTCCTATACACTAACAATGAGAAAACAGAAAGAGAAATTAAGGAAACAATACCATTCACCATTGCAACAAAAAGAATAAAATACTTAGGAGTATATCTACCTAAAGAAACAAAAGACCTATACATAGAAAACTATAAAACACTGATGAAAGAAATCAAAGAGGACACAAACAGATGGAGAAATATACCGTGTTCATGGATTGGAAGAATCAATATTGTCAAAATGGCTATACTACCCAAAGCAATCTATAGATTCAATGCAATCCCTATCAAACTACCAACGGTATTTTTCACAGAACTAGAACAAATAATTTCACAGTTTGTATGGAAATACAAAAAACCTCGAATAGCGAAAGTAATCCTGAGAAAGAAGAATGGAACTGGAGGAATCAATCTGCCTGACTTCAGACTATACTACAAAGCCAGTCATCAAGACAGTATGGTACTGGCACAAAGACAGAAATATAGATCAATGGAACAGAATAGAAAGCCCAGAGATAAATCCACGAACCTATGGTCACCTTATCTTCGACAAAGGAGGCAAGGATATACAATGGAAAAAAGACAACCTCTTTAACAAGTGGTGCTGGGAAAACTGGTCAACCACCTGTAAAAGAATGAAACTAGAACACTTTCTAACACCATACACAAAAATAAACTCAAAATGGATTAAAGATCTAAATGTAAGACCAGAAACTATAAAACTCCTAGAGGAGAATATAGGCAAAACCCTCTCTGACATAAATCACAGCAGGATCCTCTATGACCCACATCCCAGAATTTTAGAAATAAAAGCAAAAATAAACAAATGGGACCTAATGAAACTTAAAAGCTTTTGCACAACAAAGGAAACTATAAGCAAGGTGAAAAGACAGCCCTCAGATTGGGAGAAAATAATAGCAAACGAAGCAACAGACAAAGGATTAATCTCAAAAATATACAAGCAACTCCTCCAGCTCAACTCCAGAAAAATAAATGACCCAATCAAAAAATGGGCCAAAGAACTGAACAGACATTTCTCCAAGGAAGACATACAGATGGCTAACAAACACATGAAAAGATGCTCAACATCACTCATTATCAGAGAAATGCAAATCAAAACCACAATGAGGTACCATTACACACCAGTCAGGATGGCTGCTATCCAAAAGTCTACAAGCAATAAATGCTGGAGAGGGTGTGGAGAAAAGGGAACCCTCTTACACTGTTGGTGGCAATGCAAATTAGTACAGCCACTATGGAAAACAGTGTGGAGATTTCTTAAAAAGCTGGAAATAGAACTGCCATATGACCCAGCAATCCCACTTCTGGGCATACACACCGAGGAAACCAGATCTGAAAGACACGTGCACCCCAGTGTTCATCGCAGCACTGTTTATAATAGGCAGGACATGGAAGCAACCTAGATGCCCATCAGCAGACGAATGGATGAGGAAGCTGTGATACATATACACCATGGAATATTATTCAGCCGTTAAAAAGAATTCATTTGAATCAGTTCTAATGAGATGGATGAAACTGGAGCCCATTATACAGAGCGAAGTAAGCCAGAAAGATAAAGACCATTACAGTATACTAACACATATATATGGAATTTAGAAAGATGGTAACGATAACCCTATATGCAAAACAGAAAAAGAGACTCCGATGTATAGAACAGACTTGTGGACTCTGGGAGAAGGCGAGGGTGGGATGTTTCAAGAGAACAGCATCGAAACACGTATATTATCTAGGGTGAAACAGATCACCAGCCCAGGTTGGGTGCATGAGACAAGTGCTCGGGCCTGGTGCACTGGGAAGACCCAGAGGGATCGGGTGGAGAGGGAGGTGGGAGGGGGGACCGGGATGGGGAATACATGTAAATCCATGGCTAATTCATCTCAATGTATGACAAAAACCACTGCAATGATGTAAAGTAATTAGCCTCCAACTAATAAAAATAAATGAAAAAAAATAAAAAATAAAAATAAAAATAAAATGCGATCGTGACCTCCTCAAAAGAGACAGGAGAGAAGGAAATGAAGAGTCTTAAAAAAAAAAAAAACAGCAGCTTGAATTTGGATGCAATTATATCCACCCTAAGCAGAAGTGTTAGATCACAATTAGCTGCTTATAAAGACACATTTCAATCTATTAATTTAAACATCAGTGTCATGTGTGAGGCCATTACTGAAGGTGTAATTAAATGGGATGTTCTATGTGTGTGAGTGCTAAGTTGCTCAGTTGTGTCCAACTCTTTGCAACCCTATGAACCCTAGCCCGCCAGGCTCTTCTGTCCAGGAGATGTTCTAGGCAAGAACACTGGAGCAGGTTGCCACGACCTCTGCCAGAGGATCTTCCCAACCCAGGGATCGAATCCATGTTTCTTACATCTCCTGCATTGACAGGTGGGTTCTCTACCACTAGTGCCACCTGGGAAGCCTGAGATGTTCTACTGTTTCCTAATCAGTTGGACCTCCCACAGATGACATGAGACCTCGCACCTTGCCTTATTACAGAACTGCTCCCCTGGAAGGGGTGCTTTATGCAGAACCTTTGTAGGAGAAAACCGGAAGTCAAAGTCCCATTCACAATGACATAAAAATGCAACTGCCCCCTCAGAGAGAAAATTCAATCACTTACCAGCCACAAAACTGGGAAATGATGCCACCTTCTTTGTCTGTTAGGAAATATGAAAACACACACACACAACAGTTGTAAGCAGTTGGCCCATAAAATCTAAGCTGACACCATAATGTGACAAGTTTGACCCCATGACCAGTGACCAGTCTCCCCAAGAAATCAGCTCCTTATAGCAAAGCAGTGTCTTTCGGGCTCTATGATGTTTGAGTGGGGTGTATGTTAACAATTCTCATGGGAAAACCTGGGGTACAAAAGGCCATCAGCTGAGACCTAGGGACCCCCAGACTAGCACATCACTGCTGAAAGGAAAACACCTAGTGGTTCTCCAACTGGTGGGCACGAGAATTTCCAGACACATTTGTTTATCTTTTGGTCACACCACACAGCATGTGACCACAGTTACTTCATCCAAGTTACAAAACCTCATCCAAACCATGCTTTCCAGATAAGGGAAAGAACTTGCTTGAGGCCTCATTCTAACAACCTCCCCATCAGGGCAGTGGGAGTTTACACAGGATTGTTTTTAAAATCCACATAGTTGGTTTAGAACAGTGCTTATGGCAATTTCTGTAGACATTTCTGGTTCTCACAACCTGAGGAGGAGGGTTACTACCAGCACCAAGTTGGGAGAGGCCGGGAATGCATCTAAACATCCTGCGGTGCCAGGGACATCCCCCCACAACAAAGATGGATCTGGCCCCAGATATCCATGGTGCTACCACCCTTGAGTAATCCTGCTTTAGAACATGATGGTCAGTGGGGTAGACTGAGCCTCCATCAAATTGGGGAGCACCAATGAGCCCCATGCACCAGAAGCAACACAGGAGCACACGGTGGTTGGGGCCTGAGTCAATAGAAAAGGGACTTCCCTTCCTCCCCCAGGGCCACCTCCTCCTGCAGGGCCACCTGGCTTTGCTTGTCAGGACCCCTTTCTCCTAGGCACTGGGTGGGACGAGAGCCCTGTCCCACCCACATGGGATGGTGAGCCCATGGGGACAGGGCAGACAGCTCCCATGTCAAGGCCCTAGGTCGGAACTCTCACCTCTGGGATGTTGTTATTGTCAACCGGTCCATTGAGATCAGAGCGCTGTTGCTTTCTTGGCTGCTCCAAACCATTGCAAACCTGGAAAACAGAAAGTTAAAGATACAGATGACGTCTTCACATGTTAGAAAAAATTTTAAAATGACTTTAAAAATACTTTAAAATAAATAAAATAAAAAATTTTTAAAAGAAACCAAGATACAAAACTGGAGATATGACACAATTTTGTAAAATATATGTGCACATAGGTATGTGTGGGCGCACACAGATATAATTTAACTTTTCTGTCAGTAACATGTAGACTTTCATACACCTCAAAAGTTATGTGAATCATAGTTTCTAATTTTATTGTTTACTATTATTTTCAATTGTGGCAAAGCACACATGACAGAAAATTTGTGACTGTAACCATCGAAGTGTCCCAGTTCAGGGGCAACTAAGTACTTTCACCTAAATGGGCAACATCACCATCCATCTCCAGAACTCTCATCATCTGAAAAAACTGAAACTCTGTCCCCATCAAACACTAACTTCCTATTCCTGCCTCCCCCAGCCCCAGGCACCCACCAGTTATCTCTATGAATGTACTCAAAGGATCTCATATAAGTGGACTCATATAAGATTTGTATTTTTCATGACTGGTTTGCTTCACTGAGCATCATGTCCTCAAGGTTCATTCCTGTTGAAGCAGGTGTCAGAATGTCCTTCCTTTTAAAAGCTGAATAATATTCCACCTTTTATATAGACCACATTTTGTTCATCCATTCATCTGTCCATAGACACCTGAATAGATTCCATCTTTTGATTATTGTGAATAATGCTGCTAAAAACATGGGTGTACAGCTACCTCTTAGTGTTCCTGCCTTCAGTTCTTTATGTGTGTTTGTGTGTGTATATATATATATATACACACCCAGAGGGGCTTCCCAGGTGGTGCTAGTGGTAAAGACTCTGCCTGTCAATGCAGGAGACGTAGGAGATGCAGAGATGCAGGTTCATTCCCTGGGTTGGGAAGACCCCCTAGAGAAGGAAGTGGCAACCCCCTCCAGTATTCTTGCCTGGAGAATCCCATGGACAGAGGAGCCTGGCGGGGTACAGTCCATGGGGCTACAAAGAGTTGGACACGACTGAGCCTGAGCATTAAATGTGACAGATTAGGTGCCAGCAGTAGGACTACAGAATCATACAGCAATTTTACTTCTAATCTTTGGAGGAACTACCATACTGTTTTCCACAGCAGCTAAACCATTTTATATTCCCAGCAAGTGTCCAAAAGGTTAAAATTATGTTTCTAAAAAACCCTTAATTCTTAGTTCAATGCAAATTCTAAAATCCAAATTATTTAGTTAGAGCAAAATAATCTACTGCAAGAGGGGAAAAAATGCCCCAAAGACACGTCATAAGTCTTCTCTTAAAGAAGACACCCATCCAAAATTCTACTTAGTTCAATAAACAAAATTTAAAGCTGAGTTATATTTTCTCTGCTTAACACTCTACGTTTACATGTGTGCTAAGTCGCTTCAGTAGTGTCCGACTCTTTGTGACCCCATGGACTGTAGCCCACCAGCCTTCTCTGTCCATGGGATTCTCCAGGCAAGAATATTGGAGTGGGCTGCCATTTCCTCCTCCAGGGGATCTTCCCGACCCAGGGACCGAACCTGCATCTCCTGCATTGGCAGGTGGGTTCTTTACCACTAGCACTACCTTTGGAAGCCCTCAGTGCCCCGTACCATCCAGAAAATCTCCCCAGATCCAAGAACTGAAACTGCTGTCTAAACCCCAAAGCATGCTCTGGTGAGCCAGCATCACAAGTCAAGTTCCAGAACTTTCCTGAAATAAATTATCAAGCATCACTTCCCTGGTGTCTTGGCAGTAAAGAATCTGCATACCAATGCAGGGGACATGAGTTCAATTCCTGGTCTGGAAAGATCCCACATGCCACGGAGTAACTAAGGCCCATGCACCATAACTACTCAGCCTGTGCTCCAGGGCCCGTGCTCCACAACCAGAGAAGTCACTACCATGAGAAGCCCACACACTGCAGTCAGAGAGTAGTCTCTGCTCGCCACAACTAAAGAAAAGCTTGCACGCAGCAACAAAGACCCAGCGCAGCCAAAAATAAATGAAGTATCAAGCAGTAGCAATATGATCACAAGGCAGTAATAAGTTTTATTTACAAATAAATTTATACTATGAACATACACATACATTATACTTATATTTATTTATGAATAGCTATCTTTTTTTTTTTTAAGGAAGATGGCTGTTTAGGAAAGTGGGTTCTCACCAGACACCTAGCCTGCCTGCATCTTCATCTTGGACTTATAGCCTCAGCCTCCAGATCTGACAGAAATAAACGCATGTTGTTTCTAAGTCCCCTGGTTTATGATACTCTGATTTAGCAGCCTCAAAGGACTAAAAGATAACACTCCTTCCACAAATGTTACAGTTTGGTCTAGAACCTAATTTTTCTGGCAGGAAGAGGACCATCATGTGGGATAATAGACTCTCATCGAGGTGCCAGATACATGATGGGGAAACAGTACCTCCAGGACTGCCACCCGCCTTGTATCGGGTACCTCTGAGAAATGGAAGAGGTCTCCACTCTGGGGGACACAGTTTGGGCTTGGCCAGGGAGCTCAGGCTGGCTGGACGTCAGTGCCTCACACCATCCCACCTCCACCCCAACACCTTAGCATAGAGCCACAGCATGTGGTGACCACAGGCGACACAAGGTCTCAGGTCCATGTCTAAGGGCAACTTCTCCCCAAAGCTTCCACAGCCTGTACGCTTCCCTCTGGAGCAACATTTCCTTTAACTCCCTTGGACCTCTTATCACCATGGCAACCGCATCTCATGAAAAACAGCCAGAGTTGTTTCCAGAGAGGCAGGGGGTGACTTCTGCTGCTTTTCCTTGGGAAAACCCATCTGGTGCTCCCATCATCATCTCATGGCAGGGGTGGGGGGCTTGGCAGCAGGTGACACAGTGTCCAAAATGAGCATGGTCGGAGGCCCACGTGGATGTGGGGTCCTGGCATCTTAGAGGAAGATGCTATTCAATTCTTTGTGCCCTCCCCATGGCAAAGCAGCCAGGTGCACCTCAAAATAAAATGCCAGCCAGGGCTATCTCTGACTTTCACAGCCAACATGGACAGCTGGGCCATATCCCTCATTAAGTAACTCCAGTGGACATTCTTGGTGCCACCCACTGGAACCCCTACCAGCCATCGCTGGTGAGGAGGGGCAGGTGAGCTGAAACATGCTAAAGCAGCAGGACCCCCAAACCTGCCCCTCATGGAGCCCTGAGAGCAGAACACTATCTGGTGGCACAGGCTGGGCACAAAACACCAGGACCAGGGCCAGCTGTTCAGGGCAGAGACGACTTGCCTATAAGAAGAATGCACTCATTTGAATAAATGAATAAATACACCCAGGCTTCCCAGGTAGTTCAGTGGTAAAGAATCTGCCTGCCAGTGCAGGAGACATAAGAGACGAGAGTTCTATCCCTAGGTGGGGAATATCCCCTGGAGAAGGAAATGGCAGCTCAATCCAGTATTCTTGCCTGGACAGCCCCATGGACAGAGGAGCCTGGTGGGCTACAGTCCACGGGGTTCCTAAGAGTCAGACGTGACTGAGCACACACGCATGCAGACAAAAAACATCCTGGCTCCAGTTGGTGAAACTAAAGCTAGAGCTTTTTAAGCATGTCAATTCTGATTGTGCCTGCTGGATTAAACTGAAAATCTGGTGAAATAACCCACGTGGCTTCGGATGGAATAATGGCAAACAAGCATATGCCTACTCACTCTCGAGTCATCTGGAACAAAAGCCAAGTTTTCCAAACGTGGTTCTGGATGACACGGGGATGAAAGACATGGAGGGCAGCTCAGACAGGGACAGAGCATTGACACAAGGCCAAGGAAGCCACTGTTTCCCACTGGACTGTCCCATTTCCCCCCAGACAGGACTCAGTGTCAGAGAAACCCCAGTGCTGCACTCAGCAAAGGGAGAGCCTTCGCCAGGAATCCTTTCTTGTTTTCAAAGGCATCGGTCGGTCAACTGACTCATCAGTCATTCCATCCAAGATTTGCCCTCTTCCATCCTGCTCAGGGGAGGTGGGGGGTGTGTGCAGCTGGGACAGCTGAAGATGCTCCCGTGGGGCCAAGCTGGGGGCATAACCCACAGGGTCACTGATGGTCTCATCAGTGCCCTCCTCATCTTCTCTCAGAGGCCCTTCAATCCATCCCCTGACAAATGGTGACTCAGAAAAATAATCTGGTTCTGTTCCTCCCATTCCTCTCAGCATTCAGGCCACTCCCTGATCTTCACCTGGAGGAGGAGAAGCACTGGATAAAGTCTTCACTCTTATCTCACTTATCCCTCCGGGGACGATCACATCTTCTCAAAGCCACCACAGCTACTGCTTAGTCGCTTTAGTCATGACCAACTCTGTGCCACCCCAAGGACTGCAGCCCGCCAGGCTTCTCTGTCCATGGGACTCTCCAGGCAAGAATACTGGAGTGGGTTGCTATGCCCTCCTCTAGGGGATCTTCCTGACCCAGGGATCGAACCCAGGTCTCCCGCATTGCAGACGGATTCTTTACCATCTGAGCCACCAAGGAAGCCAAATCTCTGGCTTAAGAGAATCATGATGAGATCCACTGGGGAAGCCACTGGGGGCCTGGCCTTACTCTCTGTGACTTGTCTGATAAAACTGCCTCCACCACCAACACTGGGCCCTTCTGGCACTTCTCCACTCCATCGTTCACTCTCCTTTCACAGGGCCCCCCAGGAAGGGGTGGAGGGTACCCTGGGGACAAGACTTTCTGAGTAGAACCATGTTTTCCTAAACTGGCCTCTGTGTCTCCATCCTCATTACTGTTTCAAAAATACACTTTTTGAGGCTGCCATAGTGATTCCTCTGATTGATCTGGGCAAAGTAGATTGAAACATTCTGTAAAGGATTCACCATTCTAGATGCCATCAAGAACATTCATGATTCACAGGAAGAGGTCAGAACATCAACAATGACAGGAATTTAGAAGTTGATTCCGACCCTCATGGATGACTTTGAAGGATTC